AAAGTGGGCCGGGAATCGTAAAACATATTATCGGTAACATATGTCTGATTTTTTTATGACGTTTCATAGCATTCATAGCCGCCGCGGCAAGAGCCTTGCGCATTGCCCAGGGCAAATTGTTGAAAGCTGCCTTGAGGTACGGTATTCGAGGCGCGCAAGTTTGATAAGCATGGTTTTTGATGGAATTCGGGATTCAAGATTAAGCATTTACTAAATGTGCAAAAAAAACATGAAAACATAAAAAAACATCGTAAAACATCTTTTGGATAAAATTAGGCCAAAATTTATTGATGTTTCAGAAATCGATAGGCCCCCGGCAATTGCTTTTGCTGCAGTTTCCCTTTAGTTGCTGGTCCAAATATTCCGGAGAGGCATACCGCAAGACACATGCCTATTTTCAGTTTTGGTGGCTGATTCTGATTTTTCGGAGCCTTCGTATCTTATGAACGTTAATTCCCGATTTAAGTTTAAGGCGTAACTAATTCAGAATATATTTATGAGGTGAATTTGTATGATTATTGATACGAACCACTGAGCATTAGGCAGGGAACGCAATACAGCAAAGTTTCCAGCGGTTGCAAGCCGGTTCGGGATTACGGTATTCCAGACGCTCGATTTTGAAAAGGAGTTTTGATTTACGCGAGTATCAACGTGTGCGATTAACGTGCAAAAAGACCAATAGAAGTCCTGAAATTGTCAAACATTTCGGGCAACAACAATTTTTTTTTGATGTTTCATATCATTGCTAGACTCGGCGGTAAGAGTAATTTGCAATTCAGCGCGCACACAGTTTCCATTTGACCGCAGGTCTGGTTCCGGTTTAATCCAGATCTTCCAAAAAATAAACCATCCTTGGGTGGAACACGCATGAATTTTTGATGTTTCATAGCATTGTTAGACTCCCCGTTAAGAACCATTTGCAATGCGGCATCTTCTTGACACGGATTCGCCATTTGATCCTAGGTCTAGTTCCGGCTTGATCGAAATATTCGAAAAAATGTTCCTTGAAAAATATATGCCTATTTTACGTTTTGGCGACTCATTCTGACTTTTCGGAGCTCATACCCTTATTATCGCAATTTGCGAGTTAGGGCTAATTTGTAATCAACATCTCATGTAGACGTTATTTAAAAGTTTTTTTGGAATTCCTACGAGCCATTCAACATTGGGCGGCGCAAAAAGAGGGTGAATTAAGATGCAAAAAAATGAAATGGTGTCCCGAAATCGTAAAACATATTTTGGGTAAATTCCGATCTTTCCGATGTTTTATAGCATTTTTAGGCCTTGCGGTAATTACTTTTTGCAATCCTGTCCACGCGTGGCACAATGTTTCCATTTGATGCAAGCGTCGTTTCCGGTTCCGCCCAAATATTACAAAAGCTGGTCCTTCCTTAAAAATGGATTTCGAATTTGGCGTTTTGGAAGCCAATTCCGTTTTTCCCGAGCCTCCGCATCGTACCGGAAGACCTTATTTAACGTAATTTGTGTTTTATGGATAAAATTCAACTAAAATGGGTTTATTTAGAAACCCTTTCCATAAACGAATTTTTATACGAGCCACGCCGCATTAGGAAGAGCAAAAATTACAGCAAAAGCCTCAAGCGGTCCAAAGTGCGTTTGGGATTACAGTACAAGTGCACAAATCACTAAGGTTTGAAAACCCAAATGGCTGTCCTGAAATTGTGAAACATCTTTTGGGGTACAAGTACTTTTTTGATGTTTCATCGCATTAAAGGGCTGTGCATGAAAAACTTTCGGCATTCGACAGTTCTTGCATCCAGTTTCCATTCTATTAGGATTTTATTCAAGGGCGATATTCGAAAAACAGGAACTACCTAGCAAAATAACAGCTAATTTTATGGCGTTGAAGCTAATTCCGGTTTCCGGGGACTCAGTTTTTGATTGAGTGAAACATCTATTTTTCGCTGACCTATTTTGACTTCGAAGTCCTGAATAAAATATGGAAAAAGAATACACTAACGATACGGTATTCCATATGCTTAAGTTTAAAGAGGCTTTTCATAGAAGAACCCGAGGCCTATTAAAAGTCAAAAGCACGAATCTACGTCCTGGAAGGGTAAAACACAATTTTCGTAAAGGGCGATCAGAAAGTTTTGATGTTTTCGAACATTATTAGGCTGCGCGGCAAGAACTTCAGGGATTTTTAGGTTTATTGCATCGCGTTTTTTCGTTTTGGTGAATTTAGATTTAATCTGAAGGCCCCGAAAAGGGTCCCTTAAAATAGATCGAAAGTTTATTAAGTTTTAAGTTTAAAATAAAGCTTCAAGTCGTCGAAAGTTTTCTAAGGATTACGAGGCGCTTTTTTCATATTTGTTTTGTCCAAATTTGCTATCATACTGTCGAAAATCTTAACGAAATTCGCAATGTCGAAATTCTCAGTGCCGAAATTTCCTAATGCCCAAAATTTTTGGCAGCAGATTCGGTTTTTTTTGGGACTTTGCCAAATAAACAAATGATTTTCGTGCTATTGAAGGACCCGTATTTACAACTTGACTGTCGATTGAAAGACATTCGAACCTCCGAAAATTTTTCATGTTTCAATACAATAATAGGTTTCGCGTCAGGGACTTTCTGTAATCTTCTTTACTTGCGACTCATGAAAGTTATTAGCGGGCTACGCTCGCTAACCCCGATTAGTTATACCATGTCTTATTAAAAAATCGGAAAAATCGACCAAATCAAGATTATACATCAAGCTACAAATTTAACACCGTGCTTTTTTGCAGGTAACAACTAAACTCAAGGGATTGCCCACCCTTTATTTCACTTAGAAACCAAATAAAACGTTTTAAAAAATCTCATACCTCCACCATTTCAAAAAAAAAGCGAGAGTTAAATGAAAATACGTTTTATAACGCAAAACAACCCAATAATTTCGTTTCAGATATATCGTGTGCGTGACGGCGACCCACAACTTTGGCCTGGCCGCCATGTCGAAGAGCGTTCGATTCACGACCAAAACCTGGTAGGTATTGGCATTTAAAGGGACCGGGACGGCAGATAGATGCAGGTCACTGATTTTAACAAGTTAGAAAAAATGTTTCGAATTCGGGCGGACGGTCTTCGACAGATCTGCTTTTTAATCCGCGTCCGGCTGCTGACTTAGCCAAATTTTCCAGTATTGAGAAAAATCTTTAAGTTGGCTTGATCGTAATTTAGTATGGTGCCGTTAATAAATTAAAATTATTTAACAAAAAGCAAAACCAATTTGCAAATTTTTGTAATTTTGGAAAATTTTTACAAAACTTAAATAAAACTATTAATATCAAACCGGCCCGGACCAAATTTTTTAGGGAGATTTTTCCAGATCGTTCGGTGATCATCATACCTTTTTAATGCTTGTTTTTTTTGCAAAATTTTAATGCGCTTATGATTCATTGCCTATCAAATTACCTTATTTACAAAAAGAATTTTAGAAAATTAATGTTACGTGTCCAGGTTCGAGGAGAACGAGCTGCACCCATTGCCACTCATCCAGCGTACCTTTTCGGCGCTCTCCAATTTGTCGGCGTTACGGTAATATGTTTCGAGTTTTGTAATTCTATTTCATTAAATTTTTAGTATTTGATGAGTTTAGAGTTCTTTTGCCCCTTAAATTCTTGTAATTTAATCTTTGTAGTTCTTTAGTTAAACTGTTCCGATGTTATTTTATTTTAACGACGATTAACGGTGTATCGATCTTGCTCAATAAAAATGAAAAACTAGCCATAATTATTGATTATTGTATTTTTTTTACTTTTTTATGTACCGATGCCTTGGAAATTGCTAGAGTAAATTATGGCGCTTTTACAATATCGGGGGGGCTTGGTTTGAAAAATGGTTCCCCCCGATGATGCAAAAGAACCTCAATTTCTGTTTGTTTGTTTTGCAAGTATTTCGCCGGCCCTTACTTTTGGAAATTTGTGTTTCGTCGAAATTGCTAGGTTCATCGTTTCGACTTTAGTAATGGAAGCCTATTACGGTGTTGGCGTGCTATTTCTATTACCAATCCGTTCCGAATTTTGAAAGTTATTATCCATCTGCAATAAATGTATTTAAATTATATTATGTGCAAATTGGAAAATAAACTTACCAGTTAATAAAAAATAAGATGAGTAGACGAACCAGAAACGGCAAAATTAGTCTTGTTAAACGAAACTATTATTCATGCTTTATTGATGCAATTATCAGGAATGGCATTCAACTTACATTTGAAACATTTACTTTTACCATTGGGGGTTCGGCAATGTTTAATGACTCTTGTTAAAAATCAAAGTACAAATTTGATGTTTCATTAAAAATGGTATTTGTGTAGTTTTTTATATGGGATTGACGATAAAAATCTAGCCTCACATACGAAAAAATTTAAGCAATTTAGGGGTTTACCAGTATGATATTACCTGGAGATATACTTATTTACATTACCTATGGGCAGACAGACCAAGAAAAAAGACTTATTAAATGCGTGGCTTGAAGATATGATAATTAGGTAGAAAACGGTTATTTTTGCAAAATTTACCATTTCAACTTGGGATTCTTGCATATGAAATGACAATAGCAACTAATCGTAAAAAAAGAAAATAAATAACAAATTACATAAAAAGGCGCAAATTGGTTAACAACAAAGTCAGAAATTTAGTGTTTCATTAAAAGCGGTATTTGGAAAATTTTTCACTTTGTAATATCGGACTGCAGAGTAGATCTAGAAAAAAATATGTTAATCAATTCCATCTCAGATTCATAATATCGAAATTAAATTCGCTGTAGTTGGTTTAAAAGTAAAACATAAAATTTATTGAATCGTCGCTGTGCATAAAAATCATCGGGATATGCATTATCACATAAAATATAGACACTAAACGAGCTCTAAAATGTAATTCAAGAAGTTTCTTATAAACTATCGTAATCAATTAAACATCGAAAACAAATCGGTGGATTATATTTTCGGTTTCTCAGTCGTAATCGGTTATCGTCCCAGGCATTCGCAGCGTTTGCCGTTATTCTGCAAAATTGAGTTTCGGGTTCATACAATGAAAATTGTGTCCAGCTAAATAGCGAATAATGTTTGTTATGAGATAAATAATTTAATTAAATGGTTCGTTTCTGATTAAATGGTTGCTTGATGCATTATTAATAAAAAAATCGTTTTTGCATTAACCAAAATTTTTGAAACATTTATTATCAATGCAGACATCCTCAGTAGTGGAAAGACGAAATAATGGACATCTATTTTTCGAATCACGGAGACCATTCAGTAAGCATGCAATAATTTGCAAACCCGCCGTTTATTTCTGAAACAATTAATTTTTAAGAAAAATACAAATTTTTGCGACATGCCCGAACATATTTGGCTAATGAGAAAACCACACTGCCTAAGAACGTACGTTTTCCTTGTTCAACCAATTTTTTTGAAACATTTTTTATATACCTGTGGGTGGAAAGATCTTGTCATGAAAATCGACAACGAACATTTTATTGTTTTTTTTGAGCTTCCGAAAAGAAGCGGGAAAAACAAACAATTAACCATACAATTGTGAAACTTTTGTTTAAAACTACAAAAAAATCTAAAGATATTAAAAATATCAAATCGTTTAACAAATTTTATGAAAACATCTTTATGAAGCTGGATGTTGACGGCGCGAGCAACATAGTGCCTTCTATTATTTTTGACGATCCTCAAAAGAGAGCTATTGAGAAAAAAATTTCCTGTCTACACCGAATTTGTTGAAACATTTTGTACCACATTATACTACGGCATACTACGATACGCTGCGGTATGCCACGCTATACTACGGTATACTACGATACGCTACGTTATACTACCATACGAAAAGATATGCTACGTTATGCCACGGTGTTCCACCGCACTCTATCGTATCCTCCCACTACAAGAAACCTTCGATGGCTCACTGGAGTTGGACGGTGGCTGCGGCTGTTGTTGGCGTTGTTTCCTATTCGGTGACCTCGCCCCGGCCGTCATCGTCCCGTTGCCGTAGATCCGCGTCAGCTCGCGCACTTTATCACTGAAAATATTGAAAATACACTTTCGATTAAACCTTGTTAAAAACCGTTTTTAAGACATTTTTGGTTGAAAAACCATGTTTCAAGTCCAGTAAGCCATGCGAGGTTCGAAGATCCAAGAATGTTGGCTGTGTATTATATTTTAAACACAAATCCCAGCCAACCCGGGGATCTAAAATTATATTTATTTTATTTCTGTTTTATATTGATTTTATGTCTTAAAATCATTAAGCCACCCTAAAGAACTAACTTTAAAGTATGTTTAGTCCTCAATACGAAATTTCGTAAATTTACAAAAATCCCGAGTTTCCAAATCACTCGAATAAATTATAGGGTATAAAGTTGCTATCAGTAATCCTCAATGATCTTTTTTTCGTATACACTTCAAATGGAAACAACTTTTTTTTATTACGGTGGTGCGTCGTTCTACAGCACGATTTTTTTAATGTGAGTCAACCACAAATCGAACACAATTTTAGGGTTATATTTAACAAATTTAGATTATAGATTATATAAGTTGCCCTAGGCTGCCCAAAAAGAGATCTATGTTTAAGGTTTTTAATAATTTTTGATGAAAATTTCGGGAATAAACCTCCACGTGATATGTGACTCTAAAACATTTCAAACACGATTCATGTATAATAAACTACAAAAGTTGCTATAAGTTCTCGTAAATGGGTTGTATTTCCCGCTCGTGATAGCAAACACCTCCACGGGTTCCGATTGACTACTATTAACTTTTGGCGAAGTCGTGATTTTCTGAAACATCTAAATTATTTTAAGATCGAAGCCTTAAAAGCCGAAGCCGAGGCCGAATCCAGGCCGAGGAACGACTTGCGGCAAAAAGGCAGGTAAAGTTGGAAGCTTTATGGTCATATTAACAGAGTAGAAATTTTCGCAATTCCTTCTAAATCATTTTTATGTTTCATGTTTTAGTAAATCTTCGACAAACACTCTGAGATTCATTCCACATGATTTTGTCTCAAACACATGTTTTTAAAATTGGCTGAAATAGTTTAAGTTTTTAAATGACTATCTGCGTTAATGCACAAATAGAAAGCTTAAAAATAATTTTTAAAAAAACGAAAAAAATGGTTCCAAATGGCTTCCGACCTGCCGTAAAAATTCGTATGTTGCATCATTTTAAGTAATTTTTCGAAAAGTTGATATTTTAATTTAAGGCATCTTCGGTCTCGAAAAAATATCTAATTTTACTTGGCGGCATATTAAAGCATTTAACACGATTTTAAGTGTATTAAACGACGCTATTAAAGATATCTAAAAACTCACTTAATCGGCACGGCTCTGGCTTGCCGGAGTCGATTTTCGAATCGCGAAAACCGCTGTGCTGCTCCGTTCTTGGAAAATCCGGCTTGTCCGGCGATCCTCTCCCTTTCCTCGAGATAAATGAGCTTCAGCTGGTCTGAAAGTCCCGCTAATCACAGCGTGCTTTTCCGAAATCTTACGTCGTCGAATGTATTAAATTATTTTTAATTATTTTGCTCATTCTTTACGCTGAAACACTAATTTTTTTTTCCTGTCAGGTAAAACTTTCTGAACCGCCGTTACCAATTATTACTTAAGCTTCCGAACTTCTTCTTGAATTTTACATAAAAGATGCATTAAAACTTGTTATCGACTTTTAAGCTTCATTAAAGTTGGTTCAGGGTTCGCGGAACGTCCATTAGTAACAAGGCTAAATAGCGGTGTTGATTATTTCAAGAAACTTATTGTTTTTTGAAGCAATCCAAAATTGACAGTTTAAGTTTCTACTATACCTAAATTTGCCGCGAAGCATGTTTTTGCAGCTTTAACCTTAAAGGATTTTCTATCACCATGTCGAAATGGATAAACTCAAGCTTTCATCAGGACGAAGTTTCAAAATAATGAGTACCTCGAAATTTTTTTGTATAGAATTTTGAGTTTTTCTAGAAACTTTCTGGAGCTAGTTAAGTTAGCTAGTTCTCAAACCAGTCGACTGGAAGTTCTCAATTTTGTGACAAATGCGAATTAACGATTCACCCGAATTAAGCTTCAGTTTTTTTGAGATTTGAAGAGGTTGTTAGTGATCGTATCACGATCAATAGTATCGAGCACACCTTATACACCATCAGAGCGCTACTTCCCGCAGAAATAGCGCGTATCCCGATTTTTGTGAAACATGTCTGTCAGCCAACCTCCAACTAGGAAGCTACGTTTTAAAGCCATAAAAAGACGTTTTGAGCGAGCTTTTGTCACTATCTCTGGTACCATATTATTATTAGTGTCTGAAATAAATCGACAAATTGTTATCATTACTTTAATTGATCTGTTTTATCCCAGAAATTTGCACCAAACGTACCATAAAGGAACTTTTCCCATGCGTAAAACGTGTAGAACTTGAAGTCGGCCGGGTTGAGGCCGTGCATCTTGCAGAAATTGCCGACCAGGGAGCGAACCAGGACTTTTTCTTGCACCTGAAAGGAATGTGCTTCAATGTTTCATGGTGGAGAATGGCTTTAAGGCTTTAATGGCCCTCTAATCGCTTTATGAATACTTCTCGCGCCTATTCTACTGCCAAAATATCTTAGGCCAAATAACCGCCCCTAGCATGCGTTCCCCTAGAGTTGTTATTCGACCCGGGTCGAAATGGTCGAAACTTTTGTAGGCTCCCGCAGCAAAAACGTTTTAAAATTCATAACCTTTTTCTAAAGTAGAATTCCGTTACTTCGTCTTCATTTTTGATTCTGTGAGATCATTTCCTACATTTTGAGTCCTTAAACTATAAGTTTTCATACGTCGTTCTAGAATCATAAAGAACGGCCGGCTTCCCTTGTTCCGCGCGCGGCCATTTCTCGGAAACACTTCTCCCTGCCCTGGTGTGCCGTTCTTTGTGATTCTAGCATGAAAACTTATAGTTTAAGGACTCAACATGTAGGAAATGATCTCACAGAATCAAAAATGAAGACGAAATAGCGGAATTCTACTTTAGGACAAAGTTATGAATTTTACAAGGTTCTCGCTGCGGGAGCCTACAAAAGTTTCGACCATTTCGACCCGGGTCGCATAACAACTCTAGTTCCCCCGCCATTGAAGTCGGCTAGCGTTTTCAACGCAAAGTTAATTGCTGCATTTTTAACAGAAATGCTGTTGTTTGAAACATATATTTGAAACGATTTTTTAGGCTATGAAACTCAACTGGCACCACGGCTTAAATCAATTCTAAACGTTTAAAACTTTAATTCTAAAAATTCTTAATTAAGTTTGACCTTGACATATCCCCTAAAATGCCTCTGTGCCTTGGTTCCAACACTCGTCGACATTCGCGAGTTCTTTGTAAAATCAGATGGTTACAGTCGCTTTATTTTCAAATTGATTGTTTTATATTTTTTTTGCCCACCTTGCCATACTGTATCTGCATCCGCTTCAAATGGGTCAACTCCTGGAAAATGGCCTTCTCGTGGATGTACCGTCGTCGAGCATCTTTTCCTGGAAACGAAGATTTGGCGAAATTTCTAGACTTTTATCCTAGATTTCTTTGCTATATTTCTCCAACGTTTAGAGCTGTCAGAATTTAATTCACGCCATTTTTGAAACATTAAACGTAGAAAAATTGTGTTTCCTGTCTTTTGCGCACCAGCCGGAAAATTCGATTGGCATTTTGTGTCCAAAGGAATTACAAACAGCCATTTTTCATTAGTTCGAACTCTGAAGGACATTCAGATTTGCGATCATAATGTCAAAATTTTGATATATCCAAATTTTTTGCAATTAGCTTATGTAAATTCCGACATTATGGATTCCGCCAACATGAATTTCGACATTTTGAAAGTAACCCCAACGCCCATCGGCACCCTTTTCTTGCGAACAAAAATTTATTGCCATTTTAGATCGGTCGAAGCGTGATATTATTGGGAGAGATGAGAAAAGTGTAAGGTAAGAAACCATTGAAACATTTGTCCAGAGTCTACAAAAAATTGTGTTTGGCTTCTTTTGCCAGACTTTAATATACGATTCCGGAATTCTTAGCATCTTGCTTCCAATGCTGTGACAATCAATAGCCAGATTTTGAATGATTTTAACTCTACGCTTATTTTTACTTTCAACTTTTATTACGCCAAGGGGAGGCGCGTCGAGCGTGTCGAGCGAGCGTGAAAATAAATTCGTCGTCAGTGACACCCTTCAGCGAATTAACAGTGAAGAAAAATTCGCAATTCCACCCAGGTAATAAAACATTTTTTTGTTAATCCGTGAGGCTTTTCGAGTTTTACGTTTTATTTTTGTGTTGATTATACCATGAGTCGGCAGCAGGCTGTAGGAAAACGCTCGTTTAGGGAATTTCTAGCCAATAAAACGGTACTGACTGTTAGCAGGGATTTTTAGCCTGCGGAACTAATTTTTCCCCGGTAAGCCTGTACGGTCCTAAGCAATATGTAAACCGGTTTTAGAGCATTTGATACAGTTTTTCGATATACAGAGCCATCAGGTCATTTTGATCAAAAACAAAAATTAGCAAAAAAGGTCAGCATCTTCGAAGGTTCAATGTTGGTTAGATTAGTTGTTGTGGCCTTTAGCCAAAAAAACTAGAAACATTATAAAAATACACTATTTGTTATTATTTGTTATTAACATTATAGACGGAAAACAAAACTTACTTCGAATGGCGCAAATCGAACAAAAATTACAGTAACAGAAAAGTTGCAGTCTCAGCGATTTGATAAAACATTTTTTCATCCGTGCTTGAGAGTTTTTGGGATTTGTTTTTTTTGGGGCGTGGTAAAATCTATAGTGAATCATAGTGAATCCATAGCTCCCGCTAATACACCTTTAAAACAAACCTGTAGGCTTGGTGGTGTCCAGCTCTTCCCAGTCGTCCTCATAAATCGCAAAATCGCCCTCGCCGTCCCCGAATTCTGGTTCGCGCTTGATCCTAAATTTCATTAATACTCCGTGTCAACAACTTTTCTCAAGTATTTTGTGTAAAACATTTCATTCAAGAAAAGCGTGCCGGAGGGGATAAGGTGCCAGGGTGGTAGGTGGATTTTGGCTGATACGGGGTTTCGGGTAAGGAAAGCTATAACTTCAAAATCATAAAACAAACAGCTCTAGATAAATACATTGTTTTAATCAGTTTTAAGTTAATTTAAATAGAATCAACGATTTTTTGAGGCCAAGCTATGTTTTGAAATCGATGTTTCACTCGTTGGGTGCCTGCGAGAACCGAAAGCCTGAATAATCACTGCAGCCGATCCCCTTTTCCACCCTCACTTACTTAGAGATCGTTAAAATGGTTATAGCTTTCATAATTTTAACCAATTTAATCGAGCGATTCAGCCCGTGAAATCCCATGTCCCGAATTTAGTTTGTTAAGTTTCAGAACCTTTGATCCGGAAATTCAGACTGGTCACGTTTTCCTCAACAAATTGCCCAAAGCTTTTTTTGTTTAGCGTTTTCAATAGTAAGGTAGCAAGGTCTTACTCCTAAAGCTCGTAACGTATGGACGTCACAAAGAAACCCAAACTTCCCCAGATTTTTTCGAAATGTTATGTTTCAAAATTTTCGGTGCCGAAATCGTCAGTGAGCTTTATAATGCGAGTAGGTTTCGCGGCCGAAAATTCAGGAGTAGGCTGCTAAAAACTAGATGAATTTTTGTATCAAATTTCATGTTTAAAAAACATGTTTCAAAATTTCATTTCCGTAATCGAAGTGTATCTAGGAAAACGCTCTAGAGAATACTCCGTCAAAAATTTCATTTCCATTTATCTAGTTCGGGGCTCTTTCGCATTTTTGGGGGTGGGAGGCAAAGGGCATCTACAATCATGTTTTTGGCAAAAAATCTACAAGTTATGGCATAAACAACTCTAGGGTTAAAACGTCATTATATAATCGGTTTAAATGAATTTAGGTTTGGCGTCGTACTATTTTTACGAAATCTGTGTTTCGCTCTTTGGGTGCCTCGGAGCTACACCAAGTGAAAGTAATTCCGTGTGTTAATGCCTTTTATCTGCATGCTAGAATCATAAAGAACGACCGCTTGCCTGGCTCGTTCGCCGCCGCCGGCAAGCGGCCGTTCTTTATGATTCTAGCATGAAAACCCATGGTTTAAGGACTCAAAATGTAGGGAATATTCTCACAAAATCAAATATGAAAACGTAGCGGAATTCTCCTTTAGAAAAATTATCGATTTTATAAAGTTTTCGCTGTGGGAGCCTACAAAAGTTTCGACCATTTCGACGGGTCGAATAACAACTCTGATCAATTCTCGCTGGAGCTCTGAGCAGAAAATTAAGGAATCAACTATAATAATTTTCTTGACGCGTCTGTCCGTCTGTTTGTCTGAAGCCGAATTCAACTCGAAGGGGAAAGGAGCTAGAGCTTAGCTCTCTTCGGACTCGGATAGAGCGCCGTCAGAAACCCCCAAACTGATAAAAAAATTATGAAAAAGTTTTAGTTTAAATTAATAAAATTAACTTTGAAAGTTTTTTCCTTAGTAAAAGGGGTGGGGACGGAGGTTGGGGTGATTTTGGACATAGTGAGCCAGGTGGCGCGCGTTTCGTGGATGAAAATTTTCACGGGGATTTCATTTCTTCTTTTTCTCATTCCATCCGGTCGGTCCTTATTTTTGTTTTTTTTTAAGGATTTAGGTAGTTTTTGAAGGGGATTTCAGCCATGGGGGGTATCTGAAGCCATCAGGAAGGTATTTAGGTAGTTTTTGAAGGGGATTAGAGCCATGGGGGGTATCTGAAGCCATCAAGAAGGTATTTAGGTAGTTTTTGAAGGGGATTTCAGCCATGGGGGGTATCTGAAGCCATCAAGAAGGTATTTAGGTAGTTTTTGAAGGGGATTTCAGCCATGGGGGGTATCTGAAGCCATCAGTAAGGTATTTAGGTAGTTTTTGAAGGGGATTTCAGCCATGGGGGGTATTTGAAGCCATCAGGAAGGTATTTAGGTAGTTTTTGAACGGGATTTCGACTATGGGGGGATTGATGGAGGAGGCAAAGGATGCGGTGGAGTGAGACATGTAGGGTAGCCCGAGGGCCAGATGGTTGCAGTCGCGAAGCGACTGTAACCATCTGGTCTAAAAATAAAACAACCGAAAAAATCCATCACTTTTTGCCAGCCAGAGGCATGTTTCATCATTTATACTTGTAAAATAAAAGCGTAGCTCAAAACATAAAAAATTATAAAAGTACTTTCATTTTTTAACCAGAATTGGCATGTTTCAAAACTTGTGAAATAAAGCTTATCCTCTTGATTCTCCGAAAAAATTTCGAAAATGACATGTTTCAAAATTTACAAAACCCAAAAAGATTTTGGTGGCTCTAGTTATTAAGGCCTCCGTAAACAAAAATCAGGGGATTGAGAATTCATCAAAAAAATCAGCGAAGCAACCAAAACCCTGTGATCCACTATTTGGCACCCGAGTGCGGCAATTACCGTATCCCGGGCATTCGCCATCCGGGAGACAGCGTCAAGAAATGCCGCAGTATTGCCTCGTACTCGGAAATTGCCGTTTTTACGGCCCGTTTTTTTGGAAAGTTTTGTTGTTGAGGCGGACTTTGAGCGTTTGGATCTATTTACGGAGGTTTAATTTAACCGGACTATTAGAATTTACATACCTGAGCATCACATTGTCCCCACCACCCACGCGATCGATGTTTTCCTGAAAAAATTAAAGTGTTTCGTGAAAAACAATAGTTTACACGAAGATGACAATTATATTCGGACAAAACCGGGCAGGATAATTTGATTATCTATTATTCTTTCTATATCTATAACTATTATTATTTCTTTGTTAAACCTCGAAAAATACTTATTAATCACCCTTATTATACCTTTACATACTATATTGCCTTGATACTTTGGCATTATCGGGGGGAGCAGCTTTTCCCTTTTCCCCTATAATTTCTAGGCGTAAAAACTTTACAAACTCGACAAAAAAAGTAAAAAAAAAACACCATTTTCAAACAAAATTTGAACATTTCGAAGTGCTTTGATAGTTTTTCCACTTAAAATCTGGTTAGATTTTTATAAAAAACTATTACAATGCTTAGTTTTACGCTTCTGGGTATTTCTCGACTGTAGGAAAATGTTTATGTCATCACAATTCTAGTTTTTTTATATTATTAGATTTGGGCGTATATGTAGGCTATCTGAATTTTTCTGGAAATACACTTTTCTCTAAAACATAATTTTGTTTCAAACGTTACCTCATCATCGTTTTCCTCGGTGTTTAGGCGGACCACTTTGATTTTTGCGAGCCAGCCGATGGGGACTAAATAAAGAAGGGTTATGAATTTTAGATTCTTGAAAAAAAGCCCTGAAGTGCCTGAATAAAATTATTTTGTATTGATTATAATCATCTCAATTTTATTGGCAAAAATGCCACCATTTTCAATTTTTACGCATCTTTTTGAACGCTTTTGGAAAAGCTATGCAACGACATGACGATAAATTCGTATTTTGAGTCAATTAACATATTTTTATGATAGTTTTACGACACAATTGCTCCAAGAATTAGGAGCATTACCCTAAAGGAACTATTTCTTTGAAACTTCTCTTTTTCCGGCGTGAATATATTAATTTAGAAGCGTTTAACAATATTTTTAGGAAAATTTACGTCGTTTACAATGCCTTTTAGGCTAATCGACCTCAATTAATTTCAAATTTTAATTGAAAAAGTCCGTCTTTGGGCTGAACATTTTTCGCTCCTCGATTTACAAAATTGAGCAAGAGTAGCATTACGCCTCAGTTCATTAGCAACGACCAAAAAAGCCGTAGCAGCAATTTTCGTAAAACTCACTTTTTTCAGGGCTGAATGCGCCGGGCGCTCGTGACCTCCGCGTGGTTTTGCCGATTTCGGGCGCAACCCGCGCGACTTCTGGAATTTAATAGGTGTCGGCGAACGTTTTTTATGCGACTATTAAAAAAGCAAGTGGCAACAAACAAGCTTTGCCATCCATCTAAATTGCCTGAACATATTTTTCTACCAGCACTATTGCTCAAATCCCTCCAAAAAAATTTGATGGAGTACCCGCTTGTGGTAATAAATTAAGTAAGCCAAAGCCTTGTGACATGACTATTTATTAACTATTCCGTGACAACAGGGAGAACAGTTTCTTATGAAATACTTGGTTTGGATCGGAAATAGTTTTTGGCACAAGTCCAATAAGTTCCGAATACCCTAATTGTCAGCGTTTTAATCGTGTTAGGTTTTAGGAATTCAAATATATTTGAAATGGAAAAACTATCAAAGAACTTAAAAATCTTCAGTAATGATTCTCGATTTTTCAGTGATTTTTGAATTTTTGACAAGCCGTCAATTGTTCAAAAAGCATGCGTTTTCATAACTCCATTACTAATGTCTATTTTAATGGGTAACTTCATTTTTGTGAAACTCACATTTTCCTGGCAATCATTCCCTTCCTCTTCCTCAGCCTCTGACGAATCAGAAATGCTTTTGCCAAGTAGTGAGGGATCGATTTCATTTTCCGGAACGCTGGACACATCCCCTTCGATGTTTTGCGTGTCCAGATTCGATTCTAAAATTTATTGAAAAGATATTAAGATGTTTCAGAAATACTACGACAGCGCAGTCTCTGTTCTTCATTACTAGACTTCTACTACGTTACGAATCTATGAACTGCGTCCAAACTTAAATTTTCTGAATTCTGAATTTTCTTATTTATTAAATGGATGTTTCACTGAAAACCAAATTTGGGTTCTTTGCTATCTCGATAGTGATCCTACAACCCCTTTGCATTAATTAGTTTATTCCTTGACCTGGAGCTGGCTGTTACAATCTGTAAGTTAATTTGATGTTTCAGATACAAGGAAACAACTTTGTGACGCGATATGACTAATTTTAGGATTTTTCGGCGGATGTGTAAATTCATTTTCCGTGAAAAAAGCCGGGAAATGCTACCCTTTTCTTTTTTAGTTATTCTCACTTTGTTTGTATTTCAATATCAATAAGAAATACGACATTTGAGTTTATGAAGCAAAAATTAAGCTGAGGACTAGACTGAGGCGGGCCTAGGCTAAAGCCTAGGCATGCCTAGGCTTCCTCAGGCTTTTTTAATTTGCATCGCCTAGGCTGAGCCTGGGCTATGCAAAGTACGCCTGACCTCTAATTAGTCAGGCTTTATCTGGAAATTTTATGTAAAGTCGTAGAATATTCGAGGTTTTGCCGAACAAATAAGGAATTTTTTTTAACTTCCGGTGGGTCGAACAGCTGTATTGAGTCCAAGAATATTCTACAAAGTTAGGTTACTGTTTTTGACAAACCTTACGGCACGATACGTTAATAGCACGCGGATACACAAAAGTCAAGAGTCGGTTTGAACGGGCGGGAGATGCAATTGCCTCTCCTGACATCTCGCCTATAGTTTTCCTCACCTTCGGCATCCTTGTAATTTGTTATTGCGTCAAAGCTACCGAGGTTTTAGATGCAGTAACCAGATTAACATGTTTTTACGCATTGCATAAAAAGCCTGCCTAAATCCTTAGGCTTCCGCCAGGCGTCGGCAGGCGCGGAAATGCAATTCGGCCCAAGAAAGCCTGAGGAGGCCTGCCGCTCCCTCACTCTACTGAGGACTCTATATTTTTTATGTTTCATTGCCTATCAATGGTAAATAATTCGCTGGCCAACATTAATTTTGCCGTTAAATTCTGTGCCTCTAAAATGTCTTAATGAATAATAATCAAATTTTCAATAGGTCATGTTTGGATAATGCAAAGTAATATGCCCATTTTAAAAATATGAATACTGATGCTGAAAATTTAGATTTTGGGCATCAAAATACTTCTCGGTGCCATAAATCCCCTACCATCTGTGTTAGTAAACCAAAGTTTAGAATGAGGACATTTTTAACCATTTCAATGTTTCGCTGCTAACCAATCTGTGATTATCCGAGATACCGATAATAAGAGAACCGGATTCTTCGGTAAAAAAAAACCAAAAACGTTTACTTTGCGCCTTTACTCGACGTTTCATAATTAAATCTTCTTCCGACGAGTCGCCGCTCGAATCTAAAAATTGCATTAACAATTTTACAGTAATGCATCCTGGGCTGGTAATAATTTAATTCCCAGTTTAAACCGAAAACGTTAAGATGCCAAGACGTAAAAATTTGAAAAATCGGGTTTTACCCTTTCTCGGGCTCTTCTTGGCGACCAAACGCGGTGAATCCAGGGTCTAAAAACCGTATAGTAATTGAAAAGATCTAAAATACCTTTTCTCCTCGTTGCTCTTCGATGGCCTTTCGAATTTCTTCTTGCAGGATGCGCTCGATACGATTCTCGTACTAAACGGATTTTCATCAATACGTAAAAACCCAAACGCTAAATAAATATCCCAAAAACCTCACGGGTACAATTAAATTTGAAATATTTTTTTTCAACCCAGCGATTTTCAAAATGGCGTAATTTTTATTCCAATTTTTGCTCTGCTATTTACAAAATTTATCTGAGTTTGCAGTCCCTTTTAGTGCATGATTTTTATTTGGCCTTGCAAAACGTTTGAAAGCATTATTGGTATTTTAAAAACTGCTGGGCAAGTGCTTTTTTTGAAAAATTTGTTAGGAACGAAAGCACTCTAAATTAATCAACCTGCAAAACTATCACAATTTATTTAACTTACTTCACAGTCCTTTTTCATTTATGATTTTCATTTGGCTTCGTAACACCTTCGAGGAATCATTGCTATTTTAAAAATTGCTGAAGAAGCGCTTTTTCTTGCACATTTGTTGGGAACGAAAGCGTTTCTCTAAGTTAGTCAAACTATTAAAGATGTGATTTGCCATTTCGTTAAAAAGCTGATACGTTTAACGTGTTTAAAGTGTTAAAGTGAATTTAAATTAATTAAGTTATGGCTATGAAAATCATGATTTTCAGATTCTAAAAGCCATAAAATCCTGAAAAATCATGACTGTAAATTCACCAAAAATCGAATCTCCTGGACAACATAAAAAAAAAGAAAAAAAATCGCCGACCAAATCAACCTAGCTCCTTTTTAGAACCAATTTTAGCACCACACAGCTCGACAAATCAAAATTAGTGGAAGGGATACTTCTGCATACCCACTTTTTTCTGAAACCTCTGCCCTCACCCAAGAAACTAAGCCCGTTTTTAATTTGTAAAGTTCTAGGATGCAAAAGAAATTGTAAAAATTTGGCTACTGTCACTTGAATCGATAACAAGAATTTTAGCAAATTCAAACCGGCATTAACGACCGCGTGGTAAAAAAGGTAGGTTTCCCCCTTCCCCATTCGGTAACGACATGATGCAATTAATTCACCTATTAATTGACCTAAAATTAGCCTGGAGAGTGCAGCTGTTGAAACACACATTTGCTCTGCCCGAAGATCCTAAGCCAGCAGTTTGAAAATTTCTAGCCCACAATTGGCTAACATTTTAATTTTACTATCTCCAAAAACAGATCACAAGGCTTCTAGAGAAGATGCCAGGGGAATTAGGGAAAAGAATTTTATCGTAATGCGGCTATTTTGCGAAGCATTTTATGTGGCTCGGAAAACCATGATATCTATTTAGTATGATAAATCTATTTTGTTTAACCTTTTTTGTTAATCTTTTGAATTAATAATGATAATGCTAAAAACTGTTGAATTTATAGAAATTCCAAAACAAGACTAGAAATTTTAAAACGTGGTTCAGGCGTCGTTTTATTCGAACTGATTAAGTGATTTCACAACGACGACAACGAGTTGATTAAAGCAACTTATACGCCAGTATTTTGGCCACATGTTGATACATTTGTTTTGAGAAAAGAATTCTATTTCCTAACGCATAATCTGAAACGATAATACTTGGTCTTTATTCCTGGAGCTAATAGTACCGTGATGCGGTCGACCCCGATTGCAGGAAAAATGTTTCTCTCTACCACCTAGTTCCCTGAAACATTTTTTCCGACCGATCCGTACCTTATCCTTCTGACCACCCGCCAAATCGGTGGTGCTCGTCGATTTCGGGAATCTCGCCTGATCCGAAGTTACCGGTCTGCGTTGCTTTGCCTAAATATCAATTTGAACAAATTATCAAATTCATTCATTCCAACCTGATAGTTAGCGATAATATTAAATGTTTTGTTATAAACCAAAAAAGCTAAAACTTACATGGTGCTTATCACCACTGTCATCTTCTGGCGTCATCGTCTGCGTGGCTTTTATCAGCATTTCGGAGGACGTGCGGCGTCTTCTGGAATTTTATTTAGAATTTAGGATAGTACGTTCGGGCAAGCAACCCAATTTAAGTTTTTTTTTAATCAGAACATCCGGTTCACCACAATTGATCAGAATAGATATTGCTAAGAATACTTTTTCCGTCAAACACATTTTCTTTCGTCAAACATTTTGAAAATGTTACCTTAATCTTCGGGCCGACAACTCCGACGAGCTCTCCTGGCGTAGAATTTTGCCGCGATTCAGTTTTGCTGGAAAATAGAAGAATCAATAACTCACATTTGAGAAATTTAAAAAAATTTATCGTTGGCCTATTAAAGTTTTTAAAATTCAAAAACGACAAAATCGAGAATTTTTATTGGCCGCCAAAAATTCACCTTAAAAATATTGTCTAAAGTTTCCGATAGATTTTTTAGTTGAAATATCGAAATTGTGAATTAACAATGTCAAAATTATGAATTTATAGGAAAAATGTTTCAAGTCAGTAAGAACCCCAGCTGTTTTACGCCTCGACAATTTCTTCGATCGCGATTGCTGACATAATGCGCTTACGGAACTTTTTTGGGCTATAATTTAAGCATAATAGGAATTAACCAATCGTTTAAAAGTATACGGTACCATTAACAATCTGCTCCTCAAAGTGTAGTTTGTTGCTCAGCCGCTCCTCCTCGGGCACCTCGGTGGCCAGCTTGGCCGAGTGGCGCATCGTCAGGTACTCCACGACCACCTGAGAAACCAGTATTTAAATAAATAATCGAGTACACTGCTAAATTATTTTCTTATTTTGTTTCCATTATTCGACAACAAAATTATTCGTATGCTAAATCGATCGCAGACGGCTTACATGTCAGAACCTTAATCTTTTCAATACATGTTGTTTCAAAATTAGGCCTTCAAATGTTACCTGAGGAACCACCAATACCACTTTTTGTATCGTCGTTACCAATACATTTTCAATACCAATACATTTTCGTCAGCTAGTATTTATGATTCGTAAAATCGGCCTAACTGGTTGCCGCTTTTCCTAAAAAAGGTTTCGCCGTTTTTTCAAGGTTATGTGGGCTGCGATCCCCCTAATTTCCATCAGTCCCGTAGTTCCGAATCAAATCCACTCTAAACTACAATCAAATGCAATCTTCATCATCACGTTATATCCAAAAATCGTCGTTTAGTGCCATCGTAATTGGCTTGAATGGCTGGGGGTCCTGTTATAAAAATGTGCTTCGTTACGTCTAAGATTTCAGAAGCTTTAAAGAAAAGCCAATTCTCGGAGCTTGGTCAAGCTAATCTAGCAAAATCTTGTTTCTTTCTGGGCATTTTATGTTTTGTTTTGCATGTGGCGGTGGCAATCTGCCGAGACGCTCCCCTTTTGGTATGGATTTTGTGGGATTAGTCCAGCTGTGATCTTAAGTAATAGTGAAAGATTAAACTTTGAGGTCCGAAGGTTGCCAAACTGCCTAATAATTCCTGGAAGCAGCTCGGTTCCACGAATTAATCTGAAACATTAAAATGAAATGTTTCGTGGTGCAATGATTGTAATAAGTTTTTGTGCCGAGGCAATCAATTCTTGGTTCCTTATTATCCAAAATTCATCGTTTACTGTCATTTTTTATCGGCCTCGGTAGCTGGGACTCTTATTAAAATCTGCTTCTTTCTTTCTATTGCTTCGCAGCCTTAAAGAAATGCCAATTTTAGGATCGTCCGGTCTGCTACATCCAGCAAAATCTCGTTGTTTTTTACGTCATGTTTTTTACTTTGCATCCTGCGGTGGCAATCTGCCCAGATGAAACCCTTTTGGTATCCATTTTGTTGGATTGACGCTAATCTGGCGCGAATTTTTGGCTTTGTGGAATGGATTACGATGCAACATTTCAAGCTAACAATAATTCGTGGAAAAAGCTCGGTTCCACCAATAGACCTGAAACATATAAATAAAAAGTTTTGGCGTACAATGATGACATTAACTTTTATGTAATTCTAAAGGGTCATCGTTACATATGAACCAAAAATCGTCGTTTAGTTCCATCGTAATTGGCTTCGCAGTTTAGATGATTTAAGAAAAAAAAATGGGTTTTGGTATTTCTACTACTTGAAAGCATTAACGAAACGCCGATCCGCCTAGCAAAGTTCATCCAATGAAATCTTGTTGTTTTCGGCCTTTGTTTCTATTTTACATATGGCGGTGGCAATCGTTTTTGGATGGAATTTGTTGGATAAACCCTAATTAAGCGCGACTTTTTGGGTTTTTGGAATGGATATGAAAATGGCATTTTCATTATTTTATATTATTTTTTATTAATTTTTTCATTATATTATATTACCATAGGATTTTCAAAATTCAAGAGCTCCAAGAATACCTAATAATAATCGGGAAATGATCGGTTCCACTAATTAATCTGAAACATTTGAATGAAATTTTTCGTAGTGCAACTATTAAAAGAACTTTTGATGTCGTTTTAATGGATTCTCCTCAATTTTAATGAATTTAGGTCGGTCTATCCAAAACCGTCATTTAATGGCCATCGGCTTGGGTAGCTGCGGCTCTTATTCAAAAAAGTGCTTCATTCTTTCTATTGCTACGAAGCCGTAAAGAAATGGCGATTTTAAGGTCTTTCGGTCTGCTAAATCCAGAAAAATTTTCGTTGTTTTCCGGACTCTTGTTTTTATTTTGCATGCGGCGGTGAAAATGTGCCGAGACGTAACCCTGCTGGTATCCGTTTGGTTGGCTTAGTCCTAATCTCACGTGAATTGTTGGGCTTTCTAGAACGCACGAAAAATACGACCGGTGCTCCCAAGTCACGTAATATTTCCAAGAAATGATCATTACCACCAAGGAACCCGAAATGTAAAAAAGTAATGTTTCGCAGTGCAGCCACTACTTCAACATTTTTAATTCATCATTTTCTGGACCGTCAGCGTCGCTCCTTTATAAAAACCCAGAATCAATCTAACAATTCGTTTTAAATGAATTGAAGCCACAGCGAGTATTTTAAAATTATTGATTTCGTTAAACTTTGATAAATTTCTGACTTGCACGGATCTAGAATAAATGGAGAAAAAATCTGGACAATCGCGAAATTTAATTGAACTTAGAATATGTTTCGCAGGTTTTGAAATGAACTGACATTTTCCCGGCGTTGTTTTAAGAATAATAATAATGATACTAAAGCATGATCATGATAATAAAAGCTTAAAAAATTTGAAAATAATTTTTAAATATCTAATTCTCACTGTAAAGTGTTTTTACTCAGGCTGGCGTTTTAGAATGGGACCAAGCCTATCTTGTGCAGAATTTTTCGCTGATTCCGAATCTGGTTTCCAAATTTGCTGCCGACCTTTATTTAAAAAGTTATTCAACATTTATACTAAAAAAATTGACTAAATCCGGATTTTTTGCGTTATTTTTTAAGTTGTCGTCACCTCCGACGTTAAAACTGGCTCGGTAACGGTTTTAGAGGTCAAAGCACGATTTATGCAAAAAATCAGGTGTTTTTGTGCAAAAAGCAAAAGAAAATGTGCAGGGCTGGGTTTGAACTGCCGCCCTGTGCTTGGCAAGCAAATAGCTTACCAATGCACCATGGTGCCAACTAGGAAGGGGGCTTCGGGAGGGTAAATAAGGGGCACAACAATGCCTGGGCCGCGGCAGGGAATAGTGGGCCAGCATGCGAATTTATGGCGTTTTTAAGCTTAATTTAGACCCCAAATGACTTTAGCAAATTTGGAAAACGGATTCGGAATCAGCAAAAAATTCTGAACAAGATGGGCTTGGTCGCATTCCAAAACGCCAGCCTGAGTAAAAACACTTTACAGTCAGCATGCAATTAAAAGGATTCGAATTAAATTGATGCTTTGCAGATTTTATTCAAGCTATAATAATCCTCCCGCTTTATTTTCTATACAATATTAGCATCAAAATATTATTTTAATGACATTTTAAATACCTAATTTTTCGGGTCGGGCCGAAAACGGGGCCGGCGCGCCCCAACGTATGCCTCCTCTCTTCCCCCCGTCCGAGTGTGGGCGTGGCCTATTGGTTGGGGCGCCGTTGCCCTCGATCTGTCTACCCGGGTTCGACCCCCCGCCGCGGCCTTACCAAGCGACCAATCGTCTCTACAGATTGTTGGCATGACAGTCCGCCAGAGCGTAGCGCCGACCTTTAAACCGGTTATGCAAATTTCGTTGCTCTCCCGGCTAAACAATCGGCCAACATTTTTTTTGGGGTATTTGGTACGTAATTATCGAAGCGGATTCGATTTCAGAAACCGGAAGTCATAATGCCGAAATCACAACGTCGGCATTTCTTAACGCCGAGGTTCAGTTTTTGATATTTTCGCATGTCGACATTTCGCAACATCAAAATTTCAGGTTTTCGAAATTCCAGAGCGTAGCTGCCAAAAATTGGAAATCTATGCCAAAAATTGAAAATATCATGAATGCGAAAACTCGTAATGCCGAAAACTTAAAAGCCGACGTTTCGTGGCGTCGAAAGTTCATATTTTCGGAATTTTATAGCGCCGAATTTGCAAAAATTCACCCAATGCAAAATATCGAAATGAACGAAATCGAAATGGCGATATTTCGAATATCGCAATCCATAGGTGCGAAATTCAGAACGTCGAAATTCTATTGTTTTTGGAGATCATAATCGAAAATATTCAGAATGCCGACATTTCTTTATGCCAAGGTTTAAACAGCCAATTTTCATAATCATAAACCCTCAAATCAGACCAAAAAAAATTAAAACTATTAAACGTCGGCTTTCCGAGATTTCGGTATTTCGAGATTTCGACAATATGAAAAGAGAGGTCCATTACATAAAGATCACGAAAAAATGTAAAGCACGAAAAAGCCACGATAATATCGGATTTCCAAGCCTTTTCTTACAGTTAAATGACGAAACATGTTTTTTTATGGATTTGATTAATCTTAGCCTTAATCTTTAATCCTCAAAAACTAGACCAAGGGTACTTTTGTTTTGAACTGTAATTCCTGGTACAACTAATACGCTTCCCATAAAAATTAGATACTCCTATCGTTGGTGCCAGTAGGAGAGGTTTGCAAATTAATTACCAAAGCTCGGTGGGGTAACATTTAAATTTTCACGCGAAAAATCTCAAAATTACCTGATGGTCCTTTCGCTTGGCCAAATCCAGTGGTGTGTACATATTGTCCTAAATGCGCTATGATACCGTATCCTTGAGCTAAACCTACGCGATACAACATCAACGGGTTAATCTGGCCGCCCTGGCTGCAAAGAAACACGACCATTTCGATGTTTCCGGTGGCGGCGGCTGAAACAGAAACCCTTAGATCCAAAATTTGAATTCTAGATTGTAAATATTATTCTGTATTTTCTGACCCTAGTTAGCCTGTTGGGTCCTTTAAAGCTAACCAAGGAAAATTATAGCAGGAAAAACTATAAAAAATGTTTCGAACATTGACCAGTATCAGCCAGCTTACGGAATCGTTAATCGATGGTCGCACCAATTTCCTTAGATTTTTAAAGTTAGATGGCTTGAATCTTAAAATAGCTTAAAAACAAAACAACTCTAACGTTAAACACAACACATTTTTTAACATCTGCATTGCTTAAAATGTTTTTTGGTTAATTTAATTTGTTTTAAGTTTCTTAATACTAGGTGGTTGCGTCAAAGGATAATAGACAAAACAGAAACAAAATCACAACCAGCTCCGGATTTTCAACATAAATCTTTTGCAGAATTTAACAATTTTTCGATATCAACATCAGCTCCATTTTCATTTTTAAGACAAATTTAAAATATTTTGTCATACCCAAATGTAATCCAGTTCGGCCCTCATGTGATGCGGCATCCAGCGATGTCGGATGTAACTGCAGAAGCCAGTCAGCTACTTCTAAAAATGCAGTGAGTAAAACCTATAAAAACAGAAATTTAAAATGGATAGAAAATCAAAACCCTGTTATTTCGATGTTTATTTTTTTATACAAATCCAGAAACTCCTAGTGCCGTAGTATTGGGCTGGAACGTAAGTCTCTGCGTATTTTCAAGCTCAATTTTCGCGCCGAAATCGAAACTTTTGCTGAGTCGTACATACCATTAGAAAGAGCATTTTTTGCTCTACAAGGCTGCTATAGCCGCTTATTTTATAACCGTGAACTTAGCATATATTTCGGGGAACGAAGTGTCGGCGGAAATGACCCTCGAAGGCTCGACGACCGCACCATGGAAATTTTCCTTGCCATAATTACAGTTTCAATCCCATCCATTACGCGGACGCCCAAGCGGACTATAGGTTGATGCCATAGATTAACAAGTTTATGGATTCCCTTCCGCTAAACCCGGGCTCAAATTATTGCACCAGACAGTAGTTCTCGTTAGTTGACGTCTTACCATGAAAATTTCGAGATAGCTCTGTTTTATTTTGAACGATGTAGGTTCTTCTAAATAGGCAGAAAAGTCGATCATGACGCTTGGGATGTTTTAAATCATTGTTTTTTCACGCAGAAATTAGCAAGTGTAGGCAGAGCGCGTTTCGGTCATTTTTCGATCTGCTAAAAATGACTCAAAAGCTACTTCAAAAATAAACTAATTACATGAAAAGGAAGAAGAATAAAAACTCTTTTGACGTGCAATAGGTCCCTGGAAAATTACTGAGCTATCGTGCTCAAAATCGAGCTCGAAGGAAAACGGCGATTTTCATTCTAACCCATCAATTCAGACAATTTAAACCTAGAAAATCTACGAATACCGGCTCCTGTTAGAGAAAAGAAGCTCTTTCGAATGATATATAACACTTGCTCCAAAGTCCTCTGGGGAGAGAAGTAGCGAGCTCAAAAAAAAAGCGCAGAGACTTACGTTCCAACCCAATAATAAGCGTCTTAATAAAACTATCTGAAGAGCTCTAAAAATCTTGGAAACTCGAAATTTCGGACAGTTATGGAAACGTCGATTCGATTTCGAAATTCTCAAATTCTAGCTTGCCAAAGTCTCACGAATATTTGAAACATTATAAAGCCTCAAAAATTTTAATGAAAATGAGCTGTTTCCCGTCTGGATAAGCGTGTCTGAAGTTCGCAAACTAACACTCCTATTAACTAACATCTCGAATGTGAAGATTTAAACAGCTAACGGGTTTTGTAAGCCTTAAAAAATTTCCGTATTCCCTTTAGTAAAACCCCGGGAGTTCTATCTTATTTTTTATTTTGAGCATACACAACGATTTTTTGGCAGTTCGAACTGCTCCCAACTACTCAAAATCATCAACAGAAACGTTTTCCAATGCTTGCGCTTAACTTTTGCGACTTGGAAAAAGTTTTTAGGCGTGGTATTAGACGAGAGGCGTTTTCCAGGTGTTTCAAATTTTTCACGAATGTTTCATGCCGCAGGGCTAATTAATTTCAACAGTCGTCCATGGTGGGCTGCAAGTGAGCTTCAAACAAAATTTTGGATCGCGGTGCGTTGCGTGTCGTTTATACATGGTTTTAATAGAGGAAGTGCCTGTCAAACATTTCTTAAATCTTGATTGTAACTTACAATTAAAAAGCTTTAAATTTCTTTGTTTGTTCACTCCATACAGATAATTTTAATGTGTGAATAGGCGATGGGTAGCAAACAGCAGCACCCCAACTACAGCCTTCAAATGGATAACCCAATTTTATGTTTCGAACATTATTTTGACATAATGAATCAGTTGTAATTGAGGCTTTGCCAGAACAAGCGTCCATGACAGAAGTGAAACATTGTTTTCAAATCAGTTTAAACTTTCAGATTTCCAGTTTGGTAGTAGAATAACGATTATTTAAAGGTATTGGCGAGGCATGACTATATATTGGAATATGGATTGGACATTCCCGCGACAAGCAACACAACATGATTTTTAATGTTATGTATTTCTTCCACTCCTGTCACGAAGCCTGGACTAAGAATTTCCAGCCCACGAAACTCTCGTAAAAAGTTGAAACATTCCCCAAAAATAAAGACTGAAACACAGAAAGCAGACAAAAACCAGACAAATAAAAACCTTTTATCTTGTTTTTAATTAAAATTAATTTCAAAGAGAGGAATGTAGGAAAGCAACATTTTTAAATTGAATCGTGTTCTTTTCTGAATTTTTATGGATCAATAATGAATCGGAGTATGGATCTAAACAACCGATATCTCAAGACATTAAAAAATTGCCCGCATTAAAAAGCCATTGCCGGATCCGTAACATTTTTTCAAAAAATCCCTTACAAACTTCAAATTGCAAATTTGGTAATTTTACAAATTAGTATTTCAAGGTGTGGCCAAGGTATGAATATAGATTCTGCTAGCCCTGGGTCCTATATGGACTACGGATGCGAAACTTAACGGAACCGGATTCGAACTTTTTATTGATTGCTATCTCAACATACAC